GAAAGGTTCATGAACTTGTGGAGAATATGAATTAAAGTGCTGTCAGATTATTAACCAATTTAATCTTCAATCTCTAATCTCTAGAGAAAACCCTTTCAAAGAGCATAGACTGAGGGCTCTGAGCCTTAAGAGAGGAGGAGGCGGGCAGACACTCACCTCTGCTTCCTCCACTGCCGCAGTAGCTGGATTTTCTACAAGGTCTGATCTTGCTTTCTCCAAGCCATACGTACAACAATCTTGACAGTGCATCTCCTCTGATTTGATGTTGTACACAAGCCAGTCGCAAAACTTGCCATCCCTTTTCACTTAGTTTTAAAATGCCTTTTTTTTTTCTTTAGGTCGGTTACACAGCCTTTGGCCTCGTCACAACAGTTACTTAAATTTTGTCATCTCATTCATTAACATCTGAATCAGGTGTGCATGTGAGCATAATTAATAAAGTTAATGGAAAAAATAAAACAATGGGCCAAATATACCATTAATAAGTTTATATTCATGGAAGCTAGAACGTTGTAGCCTATATTACATCTAAGCCTTCCTTCATAAAAAAGATATTTCCCACACCGATACTGGAATCATTCGATGCAATTTAATGTGCTGATCAAATTTATACACACATTGCAATCTTATACACTATATTGCCAAAAGTATTTGCTCACCTGCCTTGACTCACATATGAGCTTAAGTGACATCCCGTTCCTAATCCATAGGGTTCAATATGACGTCGGTCCACCCTTTGCAGCTAGAACAGCTTCAACTCTTCTGGGAAGGCTGTCCACAAGGTTTAGGAGTGTGTTTATGGGAATTTTTGACCATTCTTCCAGAAGCGCATTTGTGAGGTCGCACACTGATGTTGGACGAGAAGGCCTGGCTCTCAGTCTCCGCTCTAATTCATCCCAAAGGTGTTCTATCGGGTTGAGGTCAGGACTCTGTGCAGGCCAGTCAAGTTCATCCACACCAGACTCTGTCATCCATGTCTTTATGGACCTTGCTTTGTGCACTGGTGCACAGTCATGTTGGAAGAGGAAGGGGCCAGCTCCAAACTGTTCCCACAAAGTTGGGAGCATGGAATTGTCCAAAATGTCTTGGTATGCTGAAGCATTCAGAGTTCCTTTCACTGGAACTAAGGGGCCAAGCCCAGCTCCTGAAAAACAACCCCACACCATAATCCCCCCTCCACCAAACTTTACACTTGGCACAATGCAGTCAGACAAGTACCGTTCTCCTGGCAACCGCCAAACCCAGACCCGTCCATCAGATTGCCAGATGGAGAAGCGCGATTCGTCACTCCAGAGAACGCGTCTCCACTGCTCTAGAGTCCAGTGGCGGCGTGCTTTACACCACCGCATCCGACGCTTTGCATTGCACTTGGTGATGTATGGCTTGGATGCAGCTGCTCGACCATGGAAACCCATTCCATGAAGCTCTCTGCGCACTGTTCTTGAGCTAATCTGAAGGCCACATGAAGTTTGGAGGTCTGTAGTGATTGACTCTGCAGAAAGTTGGCGACCTCTTCGCACTATGCGCGTCAGCATCCGCTGACCCCGCTCCGTCAGTTTACGTGGCCTACCACTTCGTGGCTGAGTTGCTGTCGTTCCCAAACACTTCCATTTTCTTATAATACAGCTGACAGTTGACTGTGGAATATTTAGGAGCGAGGAAATTTCACGACTGGATTTGTTGCACAGGTGGCATCCTATCACAGTTCCACGCTGGAATTCACTGAGCTCCTGAGAGCGACCCATTCTTTCACAAATGTTTGTAAAAACAGTCTGCATGCCTAGGTGCTTGAATTTATACACCTGTGGCCATGGAAGTGATTGGAACACCTGATTCCAATAATTTGGATGGGTGGGCAAATACTTTTGGCAATATAGTGTATATATATTAATATCTTATTTCATTGTAACTAGATAAACATATTCATCTGAATCTGTACAGAAGTTTTCATCTATAAAAATCATTACAAACCTGAAACATAAAATGTTCAACGTTGTGTCTCCAACAGTCTTGAATCACAACATAGCACCCATAAACAGAAGAGGGGGAAGCAAGAGAGTGTGTTGGCCCAGCTAAAGACTAGGAAGCCTCTGATTTCAACTCTCTTTCTGACCACTTTCCAGTCACTGCATCATAATAAGGATCTGCTGTCTGTTAAGTGCTTCTACAGATGAAGAATTGTGCTGTTCTTCGCCTGATGGAAACCTGGCTTATCTCTTAGATGCCAGACTTAGCCTTCCAGACCAACGGTTTTCATTTATCCAAAGCAGATCAGGACCACGGTTGGGTAAAACCTGGGGAGGAGAACTGTATGTATGTGGACAAAGGTTGGTGTACAAATTATGGACTTATTAAGAGCTACAGCTCTGCAGTGACAGAACATATGAAAGTAAAAAAACCAGAGTTAGTATCTGCCACAGGAAATTACTGTGATATTCATATTTATTGTTTATATTCCACTAGGTGTAGAACGGTACAAAAAACTCACAGTGCGGTACGTACCTTATGGACCCTATGGTTCGGTACGTTTTCGGTACAGTGCAGGAAAAAAAAAAAAATGACCAAAAGGCTATCCTCAAAGGCAGTTCAATCCTGCCACTTCTACTGTGGAATAAGGGTGCATGGCAGATGCGGTGTAAATTCCAATCGCTTCGGTGGTAATTTTTTTTTGCTCTTCGTGTATTCGGATCAGGGGGTTGTTTTAATACATTTGGGAGACGTTATTGGACACTTTTCTTCCGTCTCGTGCTGGTGAAAGGGATTTCTGGGTGGTGTTGTTTGATATGCGTCAACATATTTGACACTTATAAAATATGCCAGTATACTGATACTGATACTGGCCTATGGACACGAAGGGCCACCTTAACATTAACCTTAGAATAACCTCTTTAAGGTTTTTTTTTTTTCTGAGGCAGGAACCCTTTAGAATATATTAGTTCCTTACTGAGCATTTCCAGGTTACACATTCCTGGAAAAAGCTAAAGGTGTCAACAGAGCAGCTAAAAGTCATCTGCTGTTCAGCAGTATAGCATTGTATGGCTGTCACTAATAGAGTGCACCGTCTCCCTATTGCTGCTTTCAAACAACTGCATGCACAGTTCAATCATTTTCTACACTGGAAACACAGCCTCTTCTGTTGATGCATCCCGTGGGGAAAGGGTTTCTATTCAGAGTCTAAATTCACCACATGCTAAGATGGAGCACCGTATGAGCCACTGACAGAGCTGCAGCTAAGGTTTTCTTTACAGCAGTTCACAGCTTGATATTAGTTGAAGGCTAAATATCACCCCCTCAGTTTCTGACTATATGAAAAAAGAAAATAAATTGTTCAGAAAAAGTATTTGATAATTCATTGGAAAGGCATGACAAAATGCATGTTTGGAAGATAGGAAAGGAATCTATTCAACACCGACGCTACTAAAACCTGTTAAGTCAGCTGATGGTAGCAGCTAAATTATCTCAGTGTAATGCCTCACTGCTTCTCAACCAACAAACAGTTCAATCTCAAATTTGTTTAGATATAAAGACAAGATTGTGTTTTAATTATATGTCTTTTATCGAGGAGGATCAGGAAGGAGAAAGCATAGCCAGGATGGTGAAATGATTTATATTTAGATTTGTCACAGCGTGAACAATTCTGAATGTACTTGCAAAGTCAGGTCAATTTTAATCATGGTAATTCATGACCTAATTTTGAAGAACACAGCACAGCACCCCAACAGCTTATGGCCTTCATATTAACAAAGTTGAGAACAGATGGGTTGGACAATATACAAGCAGCTGGATAACAAACCAATGTGCCAAAGTGCTGTAGCTTTATTTACGAGACAAGCTTTGCGACACTGAACTAAATAGTTTGGAAACAGACAAAAAGGGAGAAGCATATCTCAGGCACTCTACAATGAGACTAAAAACATTACTATTAATATATGTTTTTTTTAAAGAAAAAAAAACATTCAAAACTTTCCACAACCTTGTGATCTACCAAGGTCATATTTTGTGTGTCAGTTTTCACCGCTGCATCTAAAACCAGCCAGTTTAGGTAAATTAAGTCTCCTGAGGCCAAATCCACCTCGAGGAGAAGTAAGCAATTATCTGGAAACACAAATTTCCACTCACCACAATTTCCACAACCCCAGAATCCATAATTCAATAAAAACAGAAAAAAAATCAGAAAAAAACAGCAATTATAGCAGATTCTTTTATAGAGTTCACAGTAAGATCCAGGGAATGGCAGTCGAAACTGGAAAAACGTGTATGTAAAGAAGATTTTTTTATCAATTGCACTAATTTAGATTTTCATTGGTGGAAGAAACAACAAACACAACTGCAATGTGGCATCTGACATAATCACAAAAAATGTAATAGTGGTTAAGCTCTAAAACCTTTAAATCCGACAAAAATAATTTAAAGAAAGTTCACAGATCTTAAATCAATATAACCGATGAAATTTGTTACCTAGTTATGACTACATTGAGACATGATTTAGTTTGTTCCTTTACAATTTTCCAATCAGAGTGGATTGCTAAAGATCCAAGATTTTGACACTTGGCTGCACTGACATGCTTTGGTGCAGCGAAAATCCTTAACAGGTCTTGGATCCTCAATACTCACCAGTGAATTTAGGCAGACTGCACATTTTTATAACAGCATCAAACACAGAGTCATACGTTTTATTCATAGTTTTAATAATTTCAAGCTTATTTAAAACAACGCGAAAAAAATAGGTGTTATTTAGTATTTAAATAAAAGCCTTGATTTCAGTTTAAATAATTAATACATCACTCATTGCTTCAATTATTAATATAAAAAGATAACCAATTACTTTGAACAATGAAAGTTCACATACAGCTGAAATCATGCATCAAGTTCTGGTTGATGTATAGAGGCGGATTTTATTGTGGGATAAGTATATAACTAGGTGAAATACTGAATGCCTTTTGTTTGATTGTAATATATAATACTATAAATAGAGAATACACCTTTGCCATAATACTCACCACTTTTAGTAAAGTCAGATTATCCCTTAATGTGCCAAGCACTCCGATGAATGAAACAACAAACATGGTAATTCCCAGCAGGATTAGGATTATAGATGGGGCCAAAAACATCCCCTCCAGGGTCCTATAGCGCAGTCGCTCCGCCTCTGCATAGATGCCAATGGCCAGGATAATGCTGCCTATTACCTGGAAAGACAACAGGATATGGTTCAGGGCGGAGCATTTTAATTTCTGAACAAATACAGGAAAAAATATAAATTCAGTGTAGCCTCATAATATCTTTGATCATTATGCTCTTTATAATGATCTAACATTACATTTTAGAAATATTTACTTAAAAAAAACAACAACAATTAACCACATAAAACCCTGAAGTCAGTCAATGACTATCATAGACTGTATGTATGCCTATATATAAAAAAGTCATATCACCCAAATCGATACAATTATAATGTAATATACATGTCGCTCAGTTGAATTATTGACCACTCATACTTAAAAGAAGCATAAAAAAGATCTTGAACTAAAGTAGCTACATATACAAAAAGATATAACACGCCTGAATTGAAATCTGGCCGCAAAGATTAAATCTATATCTCATCCGAATCTACTTTTCAATTACTTCTTCAACTGTTCAAATAATTATCTAGATTGCACACCAATTCGCCCCCCATTCTGCTTATAAGGAGCCAACGATTTCTGCACATTTTATGTTTTTAAGTGTTTGTTCCAGATTTGAGCAGCTTAGAATGTAATGCTACCTTACTTTGTTTAGGAGGAAAACAATATTCATACAAAAGGACAGAAAGCACAATCTGCAAATGCTGATTTGATATTGGGCTGAAAATCATGTCTTCACTGACCTATAAGGGAGGAAGGAACTTAGATATTTGTTTGCATTGATAAAATTAAATTAACCCCACTAGATTATCAAAATCATATCCATCTTTTTCTGTAAAAAAAAATACTATATTTCTTTTTGTAATCTTTTACTATGTTTTTTTTTTTTTTTTTTTTGTCCTAGGTGGCCAGACATTTTTCACAGCTGGGATAATACTGCCCTCACAAAACTCCTACAAATACACCCTACTGGCAATGCTTACTCTAATAGCTTGTTTGTTGCTAGACTACCTTGGAAAGATTTGACTATTTACACCAGAAAATCTTTCCTGGTGTGCAACTAAAGAAAGGCCAGATCTCAGCAGCAGGAGACATGAGAGGCCATTTAGAAATCCTACAGTGCCACTGACTAGCTGGATTTTATTTTAAACTACAACACTCATTGATCCAAATATAAATAAAATATTCTGATTTATTGTTAGTTTACTAAATAGAAAGCGATTCATGTTTATATCTCTCTCTATCTCTACATATATATATATATATACACATATGTATATATATATATATATATATATATACACATATGTATATATATATATATATATACATATATATATATATATACATATACACATATGTATATATATATATACATATGTATATATATATATACATATGTATATATATATATACATATGTATATATATATACACATATGTATATATATATACACATATGTATATATATATACATATGTATATATATATACATATGTATATATATATATATACATATATATATATATATATTATATTATATTATATTATATAAACATTCTATAAAACCAATGGTACAGTAAAGGAATTCATTAATATGTCCACTATTGTAAATTAGATATTTCTGATTATTTGGAATTCATGTGGGACGGAGCCGAGGTGTTTCCAGATCCTGCTTTTGAGCGTTGGTGGTGACTTAAAGAAGCAAAGAGAGTGAGAAGGAAGAGGTTGTCGTTTTGTTCCTGAACTGTTAAATGTTTGGTTAGCATTTGTTAATAAAAAAAAGAACATCAAAGACACATTTTTGGAGGATCCATCTTAAGGCCCTCCTCCTTTAAAATTTGTAAAATTAGCTGAAAAGCTGTTTGAGCAAGGTGGTCGTCAAACCAAGCTAAGCTATACAGTTTTCTTACTGGTTTACTTGGATGGAAGAAGCAACATTTAAAGCAAACTATTGTGAGAAAGATTAGAATATTTTGCAGGCCAAACCCCTGATTATGAGAATGTCTAGCTCCGCCCCTGGTCCTTTTTCCTCTTTTCCATTAAAAATGAGAAATAACACTCAAAACACTGACAGTATTTCTGCTTTTGTATTTTTCTGCTTTTTTCTGTTCAGTGAGTGACAGAGGTGCGGTACATTCAGCAGACAGGAAGACAGCCACTGACATGTGAATGAGTCCTTATCTCATGGGTCACCCTAGCCACCTATTTAGTTTGGTGGTGAGAAAAAAATGACTATTTCTCACTTCTTGTTCTCACTCTGTATGAATGTGAAATAACAGACCAGCTGCCATGTTTGTATGGCCATTTATGCAGGCAGCACAGTCCGTTAGGAATTTGGAGGAGTAACAATAATGGAACGAAATAATTTAAAAGGATTTGACACTCATAGCAGGTGGAAATGTGATCCCCGCAGGCTATGTTACAGTCACTGGATTATGACTTTATTCCAGTTTAGAAGCATGGAAATATATAACAGAGAAAGGCTTTGATGTGGACTCAGATGTATTAAAATGCAGGGTGTGAACGCTTGGAGCTGAAAAGCAGCAAACATATGTTAAGGCAGGAAATTGAGAACTTGATGAAATTATGTTCCGAACTTCCTCTTTGTGATAGCCTAAAATAGAAATATCAGTTTTACTGTGACATTTCATGTACTCAAGAATGTTAAATAAACATGTAAAGCATGATTAGATTACCTTTGTTTGAAAAACAGAGAAGCAAATATATTTCTTACGGTGGCAAAATAGACACAGCATTATAGTTGTAATTGGTTTATCCATGTCATGTATTATTTTGATTTCAACAAATTTAAACAAGTTCCAGAATAAACAATCTTTATTTAGACTAAATTGTTGCAGCCGAGCCAAAAGGCAAAGCTGATTAACGGTTGGTCTATGTTCCTTCCCTTATTTATGGTCATGAAAACAGGATAACAACTGAAGGAATGAGATGCCAGATACAAGCGGGTGAAATGAGCTTTGTCTTAGAGATAGGGTGAGGAACTCGATCATCCAGGATGCACTCGGAGTAGGGACACCTCTGGTGGATCAGGGTAAGAGGACTGTCCGTTTTAAATAGATGTCTGGATCAGATATCTGTTCTGGATGCCTCCTTCAGGAGGTGGTCCAGTCATGTTCCGCCAGTGGGATGTCCAGGGGATGACCCAAGACACGATGGAGAGACTTTGTCTCTCAGCTGGCCTGGGAGCTCCTCTGCCCTCACATCTGGGGGTGTGTGTGGAGAGTGAAGTCTTGGAGTCTCTGCAGAGACTGCTGACCCCTCGACCCGGTCCAATTGGAAGATGACAAGTATGAGTAATTAGACCAAACAGTACATTTCCACTACTTTGTGCTGTGGAGATAGGAAGCTGAGGCAGAGGCATTTCTTGCAAGAAATAAGGTTCAAATTTATTTAACGTCGTCGGACGGAGAGATAGAGCTCTGACTGAGGCATTTCAGTACATACATTTATACCTTACAAAATCACCCCCCCCCCCCCCCCCCCCCCCCCCCAAACCCCCGAGGGGAACCAACCCACCCACTGCATAAAGAGCTTTCTCACACTTGAACATTTGGAGGAAAAACAACTGGAGTTCATCAAGGCCATTATCTGTTAGGTTAATGTATATCTTTCACTGGCCAAATGGATCTCCTCAAAACAACAGTCCTCCTCTTCATGCCATGAAGGAAGCTGTGTAACTCATTCGTATCTCTCATGAGCTCTCGTTTGGAGCCTGTGAGGCTAAGAACAGACATACCTCAACCTCTTTACTCCAGAGTGCTTAGATTATTAACCTTATTTGCTGTTCTAGTCCCCCATGTTAGACTTGGGGAACGCTATCTAACAGGGTTTATAGCCCCGTCAGATAGCGTCCCCCCTGATGTCATTTACGTTGAGTTGCAATAAATGCAAAACTCTCTGCAGGTACTTGTCTTTGTCATCCACTCTATTCAGCTGGCTTTCGAAACACACGGCGAGAAGGTGGGGGCTGGGTGGTGAGGATTATGGGGACGAGAAATGCAAAAGTTACTTTTAGTAGTAGCTAGTTACTTTTATTGTGGAGTAACTCAGTTACTTTTTGGGAGAAGTAACTAGTAACTATAACTAATTACTTTTCAAAGTAACATGCCCAACACTGGCTTTTTAACACACATGCTGATCATACCTCTCAATTTGCGGTTTAATGATATTGTCACCATTAGAATGATGATTGAACAGATATAAATGTACATTATGTTATTTATCAACAAATTATCAGCAAAAAGAAAGAATTAAAGTGCAAGACGTAAAGTGCACTGGATTGGCTCTTTGATATCCGATATCAAATCTCCAATATCCGATCCAGGTATTGGATCAGTGCATCTCTACTAGCTACTGTCGCAACATGAAAAAGTTTTTTAGTCCGTTATTCTAGAAGATAAAAATCAATGAGTATCTGAAGAGCCCAAGAAGGGAAAAGCTAGAAGTGGTATTGATGTTTTCCGATAAAATTAAATGAAATTTAAAGTAACAAGTTGACCAGCAGTGCAGAGCAAGTTTAAGAGGGAAAGAATTGTGTAAATCTAGTCGTATTTCATCATCAAAAAAAAACAAAAAAAAAACAAATCACTCAGGAACTACATCTCAATAAAAAGAGCGGTATAAAGAAATCATTATTTTAAATCCAGGTATTTTTTGCTATATAGGTAACCCACCTGTGCTTAGTCCTAAATAATTAGTAAACAAAGACATAATATTGGCAAACAGAGTGAATTTTTTAGGACATTTGGTAAGATGCAGAAGCTCGAGATAAAAAAAAAATGTTAATCTCAAATCCTTGGTATATCTCTTAGCTTTTGAAGTTATTTATTTTAGAAAAGGAACACTTGAGAGACAGAGGGTAAAGCAATCCGGGGGGGAAGAAAAAAAGTTTTTTCATGCATTTCATTCAGGATTCCTAGAAACTCTGAAAGACATGCATGAAAAACCCTAAAATACACCATGATGTCCTTTCCTTAGATGTCCCCACTCACCATCTGTCATGGTGTGTAGCTGAAGTGTCGCTCACCACTGATCTACTCCCTC